TAATACACGATTGTAGCCAGTTAGCCTTCTCCATTCCGCTTTTTTCCATCCACCCGTCCTGTCAGTTTGAGCATTATTCATTTTCATTGCCGCATTCTCTGTTCGAATTTCTTTTCCATGTGTTGTTTTGTGTAATCAAATACAGGCACCACCACCCCCCATCCTTGCTTGTGATTAAGCCCAAAAGGCTCATGCACACTGATAAAAAAAGCAGGAACTAGCAATCAACTGAGCGGAGACAGAGACAGGAGCGTGGGACAGAGACGGAGGAAGAACAAATATCCTCGGATTCGATGTCTAAAAAGGAACTTACCATTTCTGTTCTCACTATCCGCCGGCTTCATCTGAATGGGATGGTGCATCTGTCAAAGAGAAGGAAAAAAAAGAAGTTAAAAAAATTGGGTAATATTTTTGAGATGTGTGATTGGAATACACAAAAAGTGTTAACTTTAGTATAGATGAACTCTTTCAAAACCGTAGACGAAGAAAAAAGCTACGTAAATTTTCCTATAAACGGGAAAAACTATTTTTCTAAGTTTTTTTAAATATAAAATTGAAAAGTTCTGTGGGAGAACTTAAAATTTTGCGTTATTTGCTTAACCCAATCCCACAGATTCAACGAGCAACAGATCAGAACTCTTGTTAGACAAACAATGATTTCAATCGTTTGTTGAAGTGTTGTTCAATCTCATTAGATTTGAATTTGGCCAAATGCAAATGAAAATCGCTAATGAAACAGCACGGAATGAAAAAGGAGTGGGCGAAACTAAAAGGAACCGGAGAGCCCATTTCATTAACTTGGCCATTAGCACTTGAAAAATGCAATTCAATGCGAGAAGCTTTTAACAAATTTCCCATTTATTTTACATTCGTTGTGCGAACTGATAAGGTCCTGGGTCCTTGATACTGGGTTCAGTCAGCCGGTAGTGGCCATTACTTTGCTTTCAATTAACTTTTCATTCAAACGGTTCGAGCAGCGGAAATGATAATAATAATACTTACAACGATATTAGAAAATGAAGCTTCAATTGCAGGAAACTTTTCCCATTGGCAGGACGACAAAATAGGAGGGGGTATGTGGAAGTCCAACTCCGGACAAAGTGACTCAATGACTGAATGATGTTCAGACCAAATTGAAATGAAATGCTTACGGGTTGAGGCCTTCCCGCATCTCTATTCAAACCAAATAAAACCGAGTCGAACCGAACCGAACCGAAGGGGGGACCAAAGGGTTTTTGCACAAATTACGAGAAAATGTCACCGCCTCTGGTAGTTGGTCCTTGGTCTGGTCCAGCCACCGACTTGCCCCCTCGGAAGCCTCTTCTACTTATATTGTTGCGCCATTTTGCTGCTCTATTATTCAAAATTGACAGTTGAATGAGTAAAATGGCCGTCTGCCTCAATTCGAGTTGCTCTTTTCTGGCATTTCATTTAGCTGTCCGTCTAGCTAGTGTGGATGTTTGTGTTGGCTAAATCCTAAATGGAAAACCCTTTTCAATTTAATGGCATAGAGGCTATAATGCGATTTGCAGCAAGTTTGTTTTTAGACCTTCTCTTATTGTCAATTAGCTTTCCAAATATTGTGGTTAGTAGTTGGTTTTTGAAAAAACAAGAACAAATTGCTCGAATAAATTGTGGAAACACTGAAAACAGAGTTTCATTTGAACTGAACTACTCCATAACCTGAGTTCAACTACAACTCTAAATATTTAAATTATAAACTAAGAAATTGTATTGAAAAAGTCAAGAAATTTAAGATATCTACACGTCCAAGATGATTTTTTTCAAACTATTACCACACTTGAAAGAACTTGACTTTTCATTGCATACTTGCCGGCTGTTTATTTTAAAGTTCTGAATAAATGAAACGCCCTATTTTCTTGGCAAGGCAAGCAGCAACTGTATCTTTTCACACGTGCCAGAAAAAAGGAAGAATGTGGAAAAGGACAGCACTTGCCCTGGACACTTAACACTCACACATGTTTATTGAGGGAAAACGGGCAGTTGAAAACAAAATATTTATTGTGGCCGTTGACAAGCTGGCCCTTTCCTGCATGTGTGTGTGTATGTGGAATTGGGGACATTTTAACGTCTGTTTACCTATCGATTATTTCAGGTAAATTAAGTAGCTTCGGAGCTGATGGGGACCCCACGACCTTGTCGACATCGATGTCCCTTACGTTAAGGGCAGCCTGCCAAATGCATTAAAGGATCAGACATGCTCACACACTCACACCCAGTAGCATGCATACCCACACAAACACACATAGCTGGCCGACCAGGCACTTACTTATACAAACAAAGATCCACCTTGCCCACACACACACACACCTACACATGTGGTCATTATTTTGACAATTACACACGTGGCGCCATTTGGCCAGGTCCGTTCGCCCCACTCCTCCCAAATTCACTGCTTGAATGTGTGAGTTGGGGTCTTTGTTTTAGTGCTGCCGAACGTTCCTATATGGATTTTCCATTAACGATTTGAATATGTAAATGATGGAGCGAGTGCCAACTGTGGTTGTAAGATAAGCAAAAACTGGCTGAATGTGGTAGCACATCCCTTAAATAAATCTATAAATTAACATGATTCTAAACATGTAAGTTAATAGTACGTTGTTTTACATTTAAAGTCAGACAACCTTGACATCGGCATCGTTCGCCGATTTCAGCCATTGAACCACTGTGCAGGGTAACATCACTCGGTGGCTTTCCCGCTCCTCGTGCCCCCCGGTGATCCAATCCGCCCGGCAATCTTAGTGTGTTTGCTTGTGCGTGGAACGCTTCATTTAATACGTTAACAATGAGATTGTCCTCAATAATTGAATCCACTAATTGACTGATGATTACATTTTGTGTTGGCCATAGACCAATAGTCCACCAATGTCCCAGCGCACCCAATTTCGATACCCAACCCCGAAAACCATGCGTTGAAAGTATGTCATCGATCGATCGGGTAGCAAGCGGTTGACTTTCTCAAGCTGTATTATTCAAAAGGGCGCACAAACAGTAACTGTACTAGGTACAAGTGTGTGTATGTGAACTACGAAGAAAAGGCACACACACGCGCACACATACATACGCAAATACGAAAAGAAATGCACACATACATACATGGAGACAGAGAACAGGAAAACGGGCAGAACTCAAAGCTACATAGATGGCTTGGGGGTGTTCAATCAGTGTGTGTGTGTGTGTGTGTGAGTGGGTGTAGGGTGTAGGGTGTAGGCTGTTGGGAGGTACTTACCCCGTCCAAGGTCTTGATGTTGTGCAACGCGTCCTGGGCGCGCAGGGCGGCCTTTCTTGTATAGTAGGTGACAAAACAGCACCCTGCAAACGAAAATGAAACAATCGAATACAAATCGAATACATCTCAAACGAGTCGATAGACAGTGGCACAGAACATATGGATACAGAACGAACATTATATATAAACTGTACTATTAATTAATCGGATGCAGTTGGGATTATTTACTTGGGACCAATACAAAGTTAAGCTCTTATTTCGATAAATATTTGCTAATAGCCTTTAAAATGCATCTGGGGCAAGGCTTATCGGGTCTTAAAGCTAGATATATAGATCTATATTGGCATGCAGAATTTTGGACACGGGACGAGCGCTTCATGCAAGCCATGCGGAGCAAATGGGACGTGGACAAAAAATCATGGAGACTACGGACTGTGTGAGCATTCGATTAAAATATATTATTCCGTTTCTAAGTCTAGAAGTTTTTTTCGTTTAGGTTTGGTCAAAAGATTCCAAGGTCCGCCTGTATTATTATATATTTCAAGTGTTGCGAGTGTAATTAATAGTTTGCCTTTATAATTTGCTATGTATCTATCTAAACTGAAATTCATTTAAAATAAATAATGAAATGTGTGTAATATATGATAAAAAATAGTTTAGCACTAAACGAATATGCTTTCCCTTATATTTCTGTATTTGACAATATTTATTTATTTTAATTGGTTCACCAACGATAAGTTCATGGAACTTCGCATCCACATAACTATCCCCCGCTCCATTATAACGATTAAATTATAATCCTTCTCCGACTCGGAGCCACATAAACCAACATCCTGAAGGGGTGGTTATCATCGAGTTAGACGTGCTCGAACACCTTGCTCTCAGGATTAATCCACCCATACGCACACTTTTGGGCAGGATGAACACCAACCCCTCTAGACCATAAATATGCATAATGGAATTTACCTTTTCGCTTTCGAGGAAAGTTTGCAAGCAAATGCGCATATTATTCTAATACAGTCAAAAATTAACCAGAGCAACATGCTCATGTCCTGCATCCTGCCACTGTGTGGGTGTGTGGAAGTTTTTCCCGTTCATATACGCACAATTATGGCCAATTACCGTGGCCAAAACTTTGCCCAACACTGCATTCCTGCCGCAAACACCTGTGTTCTGGGTTGTGGGCTTTAATGTTGATGGGTTCGCCATCAGCATAATCATATTACTTGATGCTTATCCGCACTGCCCGGGGACCCAGAATTGATGGGCATTGTTAAACTTCATTGGACCCCCCGAGTAATACGCCCATTTGTATGCCCCGGGTGTGCCTAGGGCTTCCATCTTGTGAGACTCACCTCGGCTAATCGATGTGACCTTGTCCCGGAGCACATTCAGTGTGTGGACGGCTCCAAACTGCTCGAACATTTGGCGCAGCCTCGTCTCGTCCCAGGTCTTCGGTATTTGGCCCACGAACATTTTGATATTGTCCGCATCCGGCTGATCCTTGATCGAGTCCGGACTGGTTGATTCCATGAGTTCCATTTTGATCGAGCAGTCGCGCGTGGGGCTTTGGGTGCTGCAATGCAGAAACAAGTTTCAGGATTAATAATTTCATAGATGCGTTTACCAACTAAATATTTATTGGTGCTATATATTTGACCACTAATGCTACGCAATAAGAAACTATCAAATGCAAGTATTGCGCTCTTAAGCCTTAGATACTTATTAAATATTTTCTATGCACATAATATATTTGAATTTTAAGCCTTATTAGCAGGTGGTTCATTAGCAGTCTCCACGGCAGGTTTCGGAGCTTCATCTGCATTCTCCGCAGGCTTTGGAGGTTCATCAGTGGGTTCAACCGTGGGTTGCGGTGGTTCGTTGGACGTTTCGACTGCCTTCGGCTGACTTGCGTCCAGAATCGGATCCTGCGGTGGAGCTGCTGGCGGTTCTTCCACAACTTCTTTTAGGGCGGGAGCTTCCTGGGGAGAAGGACCCACTATTGAAGGCGGTGAACTTTTGGGCACCTCAGGATCCTCTTCGTTTTGCGAACTAGGAGGTGGAATGACACTAAAGGTGGGCGTCGAATAGCATAGGTCATTTCTGGCGCCCTCCTTGCCCGGAAAACTTGGCTGAGTGCCGCGGCGGCCCATGGAGTAGGCGGCACAGGAGTGGGCCGCACTGATGTGGTGCTCGGTGGACAGTTTGGGGAACCGAGCTATATGATAGGCCAAGCTGCCCATAAAAGCATCTCCTGCCCCCGAAGAATCGGCCAAGTGCGGCACATCGGAGGCGGGCACAAGGGTGCACGTATCCTTGCTCTTCTTGGACATGTAAGCCGCTCCTTGCTCGCCCAGGGTAATGATCACGCTTTTGGCTCCCTTTTCAATAAGGGAGTCGGCTGCTAGTCGGGCCTGATCCGGGGTTTTTACTTCCTCCATATCGGTTAGACTGGCGGCTGCCTCCTGGTTAACAACCAAAATACTGGGCAAAGCAATCATGCCTTTTGGAATGTCTCTCCGCATGGGCGACATGTGGAGCAGGGAAACCCCTTTGAACTGGCGCAACGCACACATGGTGGCATTCATGTTCGTTTCCAGTTGGCAGAGGAGCACCTTCGCGTCCTGAAAGGATTTCTTGGCGCGGTTCACATCCTTAGCCGTGAGTAGGTCATTCGCACCAGCCACGTTGATCTTGTACTGCTCTCCATCCTCGGAAACCGCGATTTCGCTCATGCCCGTGGGATTGTTCTCCACCTGCTGGACGTGCGTCACATCCACCTCCTGCTGCTGCAGATAGTTCAGGTAGCCATCGCCGGATTCGTCCTTGCCCAACTTTGCGACCAGGACGGTGGAGGCCCCCAGTTTGGCTGCTGCCACACATTGGTTGGCCCCCTTGCCACCGAAACAGGTCTCCATGTACGTTCCGGCGACCAGTTCACCGGGCTTCGGCAATTCCGGAACATAGCTGAGGTAATTACTTGGCAAATTAGGGATTTTCTTTTCCTACGCAGGACTTACGTTATGTAGTCGATGGTTGCCGTTCCGAAGACAACCACATCCAGCGACTTTCCCATTTAAAAGAGCTGCCTAGGCCGTAAATTCCGTACAAAACTTAACTGAGAATTTGGTTTGGGGGAAAAAGTCTACATTTCTGACTTATAACAATACAGATTACTTGACCTAAATCTGAGGTATAACTTGAATGCGCCGAAATATAAGTATGTTATTTTTAGGACAAGTAAATGAGTTATTAAATGAATTAATTTCCCATTGATGCTGAAGAAATGCCAGCTAGCCAACTGCTTATTCTCGATTTAAACATGTATTTCCATCGCCGGCAAGTAAAGTGATAGAAACTCTCAAATGGAAGATGGGAACTTTTCATTGAACTTTCATGGACAACATATTGTATTGCCGACCCCACAGAATACAGCTCCTCCGCTTCCTAACTTCATTTGCTAATGACCATAAAAACGAGAGGGGATAACAACAAGCTGAACCATTTGTTCTCCGTCCTTGTCTGATGCCGAGTTGGCTAACAGCATAAAATACAAATACTAATTGTTATTAGCAAACTAATCTAATCTAAAAAGTTGTAAACGTTGTTACTTTTGTTTTGTGGTTGACCAGTCTCTCACTGCGAGTTCCAGGATGGCGGCTCCGTTTTCAGGGGAGGATTCGGGAGAGCTGGTCCTTGAGTGACTGGGAACGCATTGAACGCTCCACTTTGAGGTCACTTTCAGTTGGTTTTTGTGTGCTGCCGAAAAAGTTTTCCCTCCTTCCCAGCCGGTGTTGTTTTTGCTCCTAATGGGGGTTTATTGGGTGCTCTTGATGGTGTACGAAATTGACTTTTGGTTGGCTGTCAATTTGGCCGGGTCTCTGGTCTCCGTTACGGAACCGATTTGCCGTAAGCAGAAGTTGTCAAGCAGTTTGCCCAATAAATTTCGGCGCTTAATTGGCTAAGCCAGTTAGTTGAAATCGCTGGGCGACAGCGGCATGTGTCTCACTGATATAACGTCTAAGTTTTATGTTTAAGAGTGTATAAATGTGAAAATTTGAAATGAAGAAATACTTTCATGGTTTCCACCTCATCAAATGGCACTTTTGGACATTTTCCAGTAGCAAAAACATCACAAACACCTCAGTTGCTCTCGTTCATGCTACTCTGCATATTTTTATATGTGTTTTATGTGCGGCAATGCCAGCATTGCATACTTTCAGGCTGCCGATTGAAATTGCCATATAAATCTGGGCAAAGTGAGTGACAAACTTCGCCCCTGCTTTGGTACATTATTAACTCAAGCTATCGCGCGGAGTCATCTGAAACGATGCCATTTAGGAAATTACTTCCCATTTACTTTTAAATTTCTTCATTTTCCAATTTCCTGCGTAAGTAATTCCAGCGCTTGCAGCCGCCATCCATCTACTCCACTCCCTTAGCCAGTTATGAACTGCCTCCGTACCCTGAATGAAAAACCTGCGACAGTCGGTGAAAAGCCGCGTGAAAGGCGACGCGGCAGCCGCGGGCCATCGAATGACAAAACGAAATTAATCTATTAGAGCCGGAACGAGGCTGAGCCAAATCGTCTATGTCAAGGTGATAAATTCGGGCCTGCCTGCAGGTGAATTAGCCAAAATGGGGGCGTCGCCTCACTGGGGAAAAAAAGTGAAGGGCTCCCGAGGTAATCCATCGCGATTCCTGTGCCTGCAGCGTAAGCATTTACGCAGCAGCCAACTGCTCGGGTGTGTTACCATAAATTTGAAAAAACGAACAAGGAATTCTAAATATAAAATTAAAAAAGGTCACCAAGTGTTGGAGATTTCTGGCAAAAGGAGCAGCGACAGGTGTGCTGCCCCTGGAGTCGAACAGGCAATTATTTCAGCCGGGCGCGAATCCATCGGGGAATCAGGTGAACACTCCCCGAGCACCAGCCTCCAACTAACTATCACTCTGCTCCTCCTCCGCCTCCGCAGCCTGCTTCCAAGTTATCCCTGTCGGTCTCTCGGGGCTGCGCCTCTGCATTAATAATTCAGTCTATTTAAATGCGACCAGGCCTAATGAGAAAATCGCCTGCGGTGGGAGCTGAGGTGCGTCGCAAAGTGCGAAGGGAGTGGTGGAGGGGATTTGGGCCAGGACAGCAGGTGTTTTCCAGCTCCACCGCCAATGAGCTTGACGATGATGCTGATGACGATGTTGCCAGCGCAGCTCAATGCGCGAATCAACAGCTTGGTCCTCGTCGAGGGGCATCCAATGTCCCCGGACAGTGAGTCAACAAAAAATACACTTTAATATCTTGAGTCGAGCGATATAGATGTCTTTGCTCCCTACAATTACTGTGCAAAGGCTGCTTCCGCAAGTAAATGAAGCCAGATTTGCCAGCAAGTGTTTGGATTACAAGCTATCTTTAGCCACACAAACTATCTTTCAGAATCAAAAATATGTATTTTCAATGCCCCACTTGACTAGATTTTTATGACTATGTTATGGCTTTATTCGCAACCACTGTGCAGTGCGGCGACATGGCCGTGACGTGGCACTTAATTTATGATGGCAGTTTGTTATGCCGCGCCCGTCACAACAAAAACAAACAGCTGAAAGATAGAGGACGCAAAATATATATATACGTATTTACAAGAAGTCGGGTGTGGATAAGGCTGCAGACTCCCTGCGTGGAACACAGGCCGTATAAAAATGACCCAACATAAATTTAATCATTTCAGCTTTATTATTTAATGGTGGAGCTCGACAGCGGAGAAAGTTGTATAGATGGTAGTGGCGTTCGGCAGAAAAGTAGGAGTGCTCTTGAAGTTATCATCCTTGGGATCATGAAGATGCCACAATATTATAATTACAATGTCCTGTCAATAATCATTCGCCATTATCGCTGATGACTCGGCCGATGTGAAAATTGTCGCAATTAATAACATTAATGCAATGGCAATTATCATTAGCTACTTGATGGCAGCCTCGACCTTCCGCCCACTCCGCCACCCAGTATAAGCCCCGCCCCTTGCCCCCGCCCCTTGGCCAATGCACATTGTCACTTATTTTAATTAAATATCGCTGGGCAAGTGGCAAGGCCGCCGATGGATTCAGCATTCGGTGGGATTTTTTTATAATTTCCGGCAAGGAAGCGCACAAATAGAAAATGTGGCGCACGTCCGAGAAATAACCATTTGAAATGTGATAGCCAAAGTTGTCGGCAGGATGGTGGCAGGTGATGTCCTGGTAGCTATAGGAAATTGAAATGCTCCATAACGGCAAGGTGATATGCAAAGTGATAAGCAGCGAGGATGTGCTGATGGGTTGGTGCGGCTTCTTTGCGGCACAGGACAACAAAAGGGCTTACGTACTGCCGTATGTTTCCTATCTGTGGAAAATGCTTAAATGCAGTACTTAAATACAATAATAAAGTGACTGTCCGCCTTTGCCGTACATTAAAAACTTATCCCCTATATGCAAAACGAGGCTGCATAGCTCGCAAATGAACCGTAGTATACTTTGCAGAGCTTAGACAAATGGAAACGGCTATCTGCATTTCCCGCGATTTTCCGCGCAGCATTACCCGCTGCAGCATCAAATCATTTGAGTGTAATTAGCAGTCATTAGCCAGCAGTGATGCAAAAAAAAACAGAAAAAAATCAGGGCAGGAATTCGGATTCGAACACAGGGAGGCGGGAGGCGGGGAGGGGCACTCACCGATTTGGGCCGCCAGTTGATGGTGGTGGTGGTGCAGCAACCGGTGGTGCGGGGGTGACAACAACAATTGCACCACCCTGGTCGCCTAATGAAGTTCTGGAATTAATGCTGGAATTCAGCTGCGTGGACGGCGCTGCTGCTGCTGCTGCAGCTGCTGCGGTTGCTGCGGTGCCTGGTGTTGCTGGTGCTGCTGCTGCTGCTGCTGTTGCCGCTGCAGATATTGCTGCGATTGCCGTGGCTGCTGGCAGTGCTATTGGGCTGGAATTTATTTGGTTGTGCAAGAGTGTCTCAAACAATGTTGTCGACATTTTAGCCGCAGTTGCTGCCGTTGCCGTTGTTGTAGATAACGCTGCAATGCTGCTGCTGTTGTTGCTGTTGCCACTGCCGCTGCCGCTGCCGCTGGGCCGCAAGTAGGGATGGAAACTTTTTGCAGCGCCCGTGAAAGTTGTTGTCGCTGCAATGGCACCTGAAGTTGCACCCGAGCTCGTTAGATTCTCTAAATACTCGTACTTGACCGGCAGTATTTGCGGATGTTGCTGCTGCGGATGCTGCTGCAGCTGCTGGCTATTGTTGCCTGTATTTAAATTGTTATTGCTGTAGAGGCTATGGTTGTTGCTGCTGCTGTTGCTGCTGCTGCTGCTGCTGCCGGCACTTGAATTGCTGTTGTTGCCATTAGCAACATGGGCAACAGGTGCCGTTGCAAGCATTGTTGTTGCTGCTGCCGCTGCTGCTGTTGCCTCTGCAGTTGCTGCTGCTGCTCCAGTTGCTGCTGCTGCTGCTGCTGGTGTATTGCCACTCAGTTTATCCGCGTGCAGACTCAAGGATTGCAACATCATTTATTACACCTCTGCTTTGTTTTTATTGCCAACTCCTGCCGCCTCTGTCGCTAATTACTTTTAGTGCCGCATTTGGCGTCGCTCGCTTTTTAATTTGCTTCGGGTTTTAGTTTTATTAAAATTGTATATTATTTTGCTGCCGACGGGAGGGTCCGATCCTCTTTCTGTGTTTAGTTGTGTCCTTCCTTGTTTATGCCTTCTTTATCACAGTTTTTTCGCTTTCACAATTAGCCTCTGCGTTTACGCTTTTTGTTTTTTTTTAACTTTTATAGAGCGCTGAGCTGGAGTTTCTGCTGTAATTAAATAGAGAACAAAGTGGTTGCCGATTAAAAGACAAGTCCTTTTGCGTTTCATCATTAAGCGGGGGATGAGCTTAGAATATGAATAGGGAACCCTGATGATATTAACTGATGAAATAAGTTTGAGTGTAGCCTATCAAAATTTTGTTGTGTTAGGGTCTTTAAAGTTGCAATTGATTGCAACTGTCGCTTGAAGTGGAAAAATGGTCATTTCCCAAATATAAGCATTTATTTATTAATATTTTAAGCATCCACCTGGAAAACCGCAGTCAAAATGGCCGCTCCTGCTGCCCAAACCACGCCCACTTGCACTAATCCCACCGCCCACGTAGCCAAACTGCATAGCT